TCCATGACAATTAGTAAATTAATTTTTTGGCCAAATAATAATAAATAATGCACATTTCTAAAATTAACACATATGTTGAATGATAAAGAGGAATTTGATTTTTGTTGACTCCAAAAGACCTAACATCTTCCTCCCCTGACATAGTCTCCTCTTATACTTCCTCCAAATCCAAAATATACAATGTTTGTAATCAATTCACAATTCTAAAAAAAGGTTATTTGAAATCTTAATTTTTTTAAAAAAAATTACATCTTTTCAAATTTACTTTAATTAAATACTATAAATAAGTGATTTGATAATGATAATTAAAATTTAAATACATCATTTTTTTTTAAAAAGAGTAATAAACAAAGTATGGTATAGTTAGAAAGATAATTATAAAAGCTACCAATATTCTATATTTTGTATTAAGTAAAGTTTTAAAAAAATCTTGTATTGTAATTCGGAGGAATATAACCAAAAAATTTCATTAATCAATTATGTATGATTTTTTTCGGAACAAGGCTAACTTTATTTAAAAACTCCTTCTAGAATGTTGGTTTCAGTTTCACGAACAATTGGATAATTTGGAACATGCATAAAAATACAACAAACATTTTCATATGAATGTTCTAGATGTTGGAATATTACATTCAGCAAATTCTATATTGAAACTCAAGCAAATAGTTTGAATACAAATGAAATCCATATAGGAAAATCAACAAAATTGAAAATACATTTTTTTTCATTTTTTTCAGAGAAGTGAAAATACTTTCGATTCACACTATGGAACAGCAGATAATGTGAAGTGAAATCTATTGGGTGATAAAAGTAGGCAAGTAAGTGTTGAGAATGCGACACGTAGAGTTGCAGACCAGGTCCTGGTATTAGTGTTAGAAGCCTTTAAAAGTATGAAAATTAAAAACCTATAGGAGGTTTAATTGTGAAGAATGGCACTTTCAAAAACACTAACAATGATGTAAGACGAAAGACTTGGGATCTATTTGGTTCCTATTCTCATTTTGTAAACTGTTTTATAATATAATTTTTTATAATTATTTTTTAAAATAAAACAAAATAAAATTTATTGGATTATGTTGATTTAAAAATAATTTAAAATTAAAAATAAACAGATAGTAATGACTAATTGTGGTAATTTTTTATAAAAATTAGTTAATGTAACTGTAATTTCTAATAATTAAATATGGTGTATTTTGAAAACATGAAAATAAAATGAAAACAACTTATAAACTTGTTTTTAAAAATAAAAAATGAAAATATTTTTAAAAATAATTAATTAAAAACACTAATCCAAACAAGTATTTAAAATTTTTTGTCTTCAAAAAAATTAAAACAGAAAACAAATAGAACCTTAGCCTCCATTTATATATATATATATATATAATAAACAAATTAAGACTTAGCTCAATGCTTCAATAAAAATCTCAATGATCCACCTGTGTTTTGAGAATATTGTCGTGATTAACGTTACAAATCCTATGATCATAGATTAATAATACTGTCCATGGAATCAATGCTCAAAACAGATATTTCCCTCCCCCCTCTCTATATGTATGTATGGATGGAAGCATATATGTTTGAACATAATGGAAAACAGCATATAATTAATTCATTAAACCCACAAAAACACAATATTAAGTATACTAAAATTAGAGTTTTTAATTTCATCTCGGTTCATTTAAGAAATAATGATATGAATGGAGATAAAATTCCTAATAGTTCTCACAAATCGATTAGATATATATCCACCACACAATCACTTGTCCATCTCTTTGGCAACACGTAGCAATGATATAACACTATAAATGAAAAATATATTTATGATTCAAGTGCATTGTATTTTCAAAGACTTAGTTAGAAATTTCCCACTTAATTTTTTTCTCTGTGTTTCTCCATTTTTTCCTGTTTTTTTCGATAGATAGATAGGGATAGGGAATAAGATTGAGATAATGTGTGTTTGTTTTTTTTAAAACTTTGATTTCTATATGAAAATCAAATTAACTGTGAAATCATCAAGATACTGATTTATGGTTTAATAATGAATAATGGTCTAAATCGTAATCTAACTAATCATTAATAAATTAATATATTTTAAATATTATATATTTAAAATAGAAAGAAATAATCATACTTTGTAACAAACATGAATATTTAAATTTCAAACAAAATAGTTTACAATAAAAAAGGATAATATCCATCAACATTGTATCATTTTCATCCAAAATATATACACTTATTTCACGATTTATAATTTATAATTTTAAAATATATAAATATATACATAATTTATACATATTTCTTGCATTTTTTTTTTCATTTCATAATGCTTATTAGGTATAAGTATATTTAAATTATAGTTTAGAAATATGAATTAAAAATTTAAAAATTTAATTTTTAAATTAAAAATTGAAATTTAATTAGTTTCTTGCCAGTTTGATCGATTCTTGACCGATTCTTTAACTTTTTGGTTTTCTGCAATCGTTAAACCAAATTTGAAACTAGTTTCCTCCATCAAAAGTTCAAACTTACTAGATCATTCTCAAAGTCAATGGGAATCATACGATTACTACTTATGAAAAAAATATTTAGGTAGATTGTGTGCATCATGTCACTTGTAGTTTATTTAATAAAAATATGATATTTAAATAATATTAAATATAAATTAATTATGATATTAATGATATTAATGATAATAAAAAGAGAAAAAGGCAAGAATAAAATGTATATTCTATTATAAGAATTAAATCAATTAAAAAAATATCATACAAGATTTTATTTATATTACTTTAAATATTTTAATTGGATAGATTATAAATGATATTGAACACCCATTTTATCTAAAAATTTCTCCTACTTGTAAGAATATCAAGCCCCAAGTTTCTTGGAATGTACCAATACGCACTCCTTAACATGCAACTTTCTCATTCATTGAACAAATAAATTTTTTAAATTTTCATACTTGTTCAAAAATATAAGATATTTTTAACCGAATCTCATTTCTTAATAAAGTAATTACTTATTTTTAAACTAGCTCTATCTTTTTATATTTACCTCTATTAAATACTCTACAAATATAAAGTCATTATCAATAAAGACACTTTCGAAAAAAAGACAATGATTACATATTAAAAAATTAAAAATATCTTACATTTTTTAATATCTAATTTTTTTTAAAATATTTTATATTTTTGAACGGAGGGTGTTAATGTTAAGTTCAGCTTGTTTCATTTTCACTTTGTCATTTTGTTGTTCTTCTACTTCTTTTTTTTTCCCAACAAGATTAACAGAACACAGGACCACGAAAAAATAATCTCTGACCAGAAGCAGGCCACCACAACAGCCTCATCTAATCTCACTCTCAAAAAACCTAATTTAATTTCGCCAAATTTAAGTAACAATATTTTGGCCTGGAATAATTTCACTTTATCATATCTCCTAGATATTATTAACACCAACAGATAACAATGCTTTTCATATAATTAAATTAAAGTCATTCAGATTGTGGTTCAGTATTTTCTTTTATGGAAAAGCATTTATTTTCTTATTCAAAGTCGACATCGTCTATTTCCAATTTGCTTCCTAGAGTCAATAATTAAAAGGATTAAGGACAATTTTTTTTATATTTTTCTGTAATTATTTTTATCAACTAAGAGTTAAAATTGATATTTATTAATAACAGGGATAATATTGTACCCCTTTGAAATGTTGAAAGAAATACTGTATAAAAATAGATTTAAGGTCCCTTATATTTCTAGAAATATAATTTAAGAATAAATTTACCATTTAGCCTTACATAAAGTCTTGATCAAAACCCTACATAAAGTTTGAACCCTCCATCTCCATTAACGAAAAATAGAATTATTTTTCCTTAACCCATCACCGTTAGTATAGTTAAAAAAAGGAAATGTAATCATTTGTTGCTTATACTTTTTATTTATTTAAAACTCAATTTCTCATATTTGACTTAATGCAACTCATCCACAATTTTGCCTTGATTAAAATTTATTTCTTGAACTTTGACCAATAAGATTTTGTCTCTATAATTTTAATAATTTAAAATTTAATTTTTTATATTTTAAAAAATAAAATTATAAAGAATTTCTTAAAACTTAAAGATTAATATTTTACTCCTTTTGTCCTTATATATATAAGGTATTTTTATTTAAATCTTACATATTAATAAAAGCTTATTATTTATATTATGATAATTTTAATTTCATCTCTAATAATATCAATTAATATTATGGTGACGATAGTTAAAATATACAATTAATATCTTTTCTCTCTTTTTTAAGACAAGGGTAAAATTATTTAATTATTTAAAAATATCATCACACCTCTTATATTTATGGACAACATATATTTATGGAAAATACTTTCTATGTAAGAATGGAAGAAGTATATAATTAAAATTATATTGAGTTAAAAAATTAAAATTATAAAAACTAAATTTTAAAAAAAGAAAAATTATGTTGAAATCTCACCAAAAAAAAATTACTCCCCTCATTTTAAATTATAAGATACTTTTAAATAAAATCTCACATATCAATAAAGCTCATTACATACATTTTATTATTTTACTATTTCAAGATAAAAATATAAATTTTTAAAAATATCCTTTATTTAATATTTTATTAATTAAAGAATATTAAAGAGAGATAATATATAAAAAGATAATATTAAAAAATATTATTAATAATAAAATTTTATTTTTATTAAAGTATTATATATTTTAAGATATTTAATATTTTTTAAATGTGTTTATAATTTAAGATGGAAGATAATTATTATAAGATTTACTGAAAGTTAAATTAAAATTATTAATAATTAATTTTTTTTACATGGACTTGTGCGTTATTCTCTCTTAAAAGAAGAGGAAAAAAGAGAGTCAATGCAGGTCGCTGTGGTGTCTGTCTGGGTATCCTCGGAGGTTATGACGCCGTCAATGTACTGAGAACCTGCTTTTCCGACAACTAACAAAAAAAATAAAATGTCTGACAAATCAAAGATGGGATGGTCACGTGGGTTTTGAGGACCTCTGGGTTAGGTGAAGTGCTTAATCAATTATCTAACGCCATGCAATTCCCACACTGAAATGATTACTTGTGCATAATTAAATACTGTCATCTTTCTGCTACGGAACCCCATTACTCACTTCTCCTTCAGTTTCCTCTCCGTTTGCTTCAGTTTCCTTGGAGTTCTCCTCCTGCTCTGGTACTGGTTAGCGCTTTAACCTTTTGTTTATTTTGCTGTTTCTGATGCATTCGATGTTTCTTTGGGTCGATGAGTTGAGATTGTTTGTTGTGATTTCGTACATTTGGTGGATTTTGCCTTGTGGGTTGTTTGGAATTGAGGGGCTGTGAGGTTTTTTGAGGGGTTTTCGTTTCTTGGTATTTTGTTTATGTAATTTTGTTCTACCTTCTGGATCGAGCCAATCTCTGTCGTGGTAGTTCTCATGCGCTTTATGCTGGTGAATTGAGGGAAAAATGAAATCCGTGACTTTACTTTGCCTTTTTCCTTTTCTAATTATCACATATTTTTCTTTTCCTTTGCACTTTCTGGTGTTGTGCCATCATTTTTTCCCCATCTTTGAAGCTTCCCATCTCCGCTCTCCACAAACAAACAGCGATAGGTCTTCCTTTACTGACTTAATAAGCTGGACTCATAAAAAGAACATGGTGTGATGGCTAGAAATTATTCATTTGTTAATTGAAGTGTTTCAAAATGTCTAATATGAATAGGCAAATTAGGCACAGCTTAAATTTTAAATAGTTTGTGTTTCATAGGTTTTCATTAGGATAAATTTCAGGAGTTCTTTTCTTGGCACTTCGAAGATGGCATCCGAAAGTAGCGTGTCTACTTAACTAATTGATTGAAGACAGATAGGTGAAATGGTTTAACTTTATACGGGTGTCAAGATTCCTGGTGTGAACAAGCTCCTGTAGGCTGTGTTTTAGAAAATATTACTTTATCGTAGTTGATGATTTGCTAGGTGCTAGGCTGCTGGCTACTTTCTCTGTTTAAAAGACTAAGCTTTTAATATTTTCTCTAGTATTGTGTTGATGCAACATTTGCGGGCATTAGAGCTAAACCTTAGTCGTTAATGGTTTCCTTGCGTTTTATGCTTTTCTATAAAGGATCTATTAATTACGGGCGGATAGGCTTTACAGTTGGTATGTTTGCTTTAAATGTCATTCTATGCTCAAGAGGGATCATTCTCATCTATTCATGGGAGGCAGGATTTTCTTAGCTTAGTACAAAGAAGCCTGTCTATGTGATACTGATAAATTATCGAAGTGAAGTAATTTATTAGTGCTTCAATTTATCTTATTCTGGAAAATTAGGTTTGTTTATGAGATGCCTATGTGGGCTTGTAAGCTTGAATGCTCTAGCTTCGTAACAGGTGATCTTTTGTTGTGGATTTCTGTTGATACCACTGGTATAACCTTAGAGGGTATCGTATCATAAAGGACTGGTTTGTTAAGAAGCTACAGCCTTTAAATTTATAAGCACATCAAGGCATCCCATACTATACAATGAGGGACTCAATATGATTGTAACTACCTGATAAAATTTTAACCTTCTGTCAGTTAAATGCAAACCTGTTACTCCATCGACGCCGTGAATTTTAATTATGAGCCCTTTTCCTTCCATTTTAGCACTTAATAATTGCCACCTTATTTTTCCTTTGCCATGGCGTTGACTTCTCAAGCTTCACAATCTAACAGGCCAGTTCTGCTTTCTGATGCAAAGTAGAGATTGCAAAATCTTCCAAAAATAGCTACTTGACTAAAGGTTTAATGTCAAAATTTAATATTGGGAATTTTTGGTTTTGGAGGACTTCTTGTTCCCATTTGTTTGTATTGATGTATTGATCTTTCTCTTATCTTGGATGAATTATCTTCTATACAACTATACTAAAAAATGAATTAAAGGTATGGTTTTAAGAGTCATGAGGCTTTGGCTGTCTGAGATGTATAGTTTAGTCCAGGAGATACCACCAAATTAAGGACCAAAGGCAGAAATTATGGCATGGATTTAATAGATAATAAAGAGATTGAATACCTATGATGTGGTAAACATGATGAAGATTTTTCCCCACCAACTTGATGAAGTTAAAAGTCAGAAATGAAACTTCTGAACTGCCAGAGCCTTTTCTTCCTTGACCTACAAGAATGCGGAATGGTTTTCGATAGAGTACACTTTACACTAAGCAATGTATACAATCAATTATGGTCCACTATTTATGCATCAGGTTATAACAAAGCTTCTTACATTCACTTTATGTATATGTTGGATTTTCTGCTAAACATGATTGATGATGTGCTCATGTTATGCTTTTTTGTGCATTTGATAATGTCATTTTTCCCCAGAAAAGCAAAGGAACAATGTCTGATAAAATCACTGCTGCTGAGAACCTTCTTAACAGCCTTGTAGATACAGTTACCGAGAAGAAAAAATCTGTTTCATTCTTTGAGGAAGAGAACTCAAGCTCAGTGAGCACTCATTTCAGAAGACTGTTTGGACGTGAGAAGCCCGTGCACCATATATTGGGGGGTGGAAAATGTATGATAGTTTAAGTCTTTGTCATGTAAAACTACCATATTGGTATCTTAATTTGTTTCCCCTTTGAATGCCATAGCTGCTGATGTCTTGTTATGGAGGAACAAGAAGATCTCTGCAAGTGTCTTAGCTAGTGCAACCCTTTTGTGGGTGCTTTTTGAATGGCTTGACTATCATTTCCTGACTCTTGTATGCTTTGCTCTGGTTCTTGGCATGCTTGCACAGTTTCTTTGGTCTAATGCTTCTGGCTTGATTAAGAGGTAATTTTGGAGCATATCTACATCTCTGCTTTTGTTGCTTGAATTTACTTTGATGTGTTACAGAACTGCACAATTTCTCAGCTTTTAAGTAAGTGGGCTTTGCTCTGTCTTGACAGGGAACCATCTAAAGTTCCTCGTCTTGTTATCCCAGAGGATTTGTTTGTCAACATTGCAACTGCAGCCGGTTCTGAGATTAACCGAGGTTTGGGGTTTCTTCAAGATGTTGCTTGTGGAGGAAATATGAAGCAATTTCTTATTGTACGTTTGCGCTTATTCTCTTTTCTACTTATTTTTCCTTTTATCATCCAAAAGTGTGCTTAAAACATTATTTCTAGGTTGAAGCAATATTTTGGATTCAGAAACCTGCTTTTGCTTTAGTTCTTGTTTTTGAATCAATTTGTTTATATTTTACCACAATATTGATAATTGCCATGGCAGCACTTAATGGGCCCTCATATTTATACTCTGTTGCAATATTCATAGGCTAGATTGATTTGTTAACAGACATGCCTTATGACCCAACCATGGCATCATATGTCAATCTCATAATTTTTTAGTCTGTTGAAGCTCACTATAGGATTTTTCATGCCATATCAGCAAAATAGAAGTCACTGAAGCAGTAATTACAACAAAGATTCAACGGAAATTCCTTTAGTAAATTAATGCCTGCCATTTTTCCCTGTAGACGTAAGATGTGCTGATGTAATACATGAATACAAAGAAACATAAATATCTATGAAGAACTTTATTACTGATGCCTTCCTTTTTTTTTTTTTTCGAGCAAATATTGCTGATGCCTTCCTTGAGGAGGAGATAAGTTGCTTTATTTTGTAGTCACTTGTCAAAATGAAAAGGTCAATGCGGTAGGGGTTTGATAACAATATGGCAATGGCAATGCCACTTTCTAGAGATGTTGAAATTACTGTACAAAGAGGAAATGGAATTTTTGGAAGGAGTGGAGGCCAATAAATAAAAGATTTATGGCCTGTAGGAGAGATAACATACATTGCATTGGGAAAACAAGGATAATTAGTTTCATTTGTCTATACAATTGAATTCACTAAACTTGTGTGTTTGGAATGCATGACGATACGGATGCAGCTTCTATTGTGTTGTCAATTGCAAACTTGTTTTTTCATTATTATCTCTTTAATAATCACCCCCCCTTTTTATGAAATTTATAGTGTATATTTTCTAGTGGAATTTGTAATTCAAAAGTTGCAAAATTTCCAGGTGGTAGCAAGCTTATGGGCTGTAGCTATCATTGGAAGCTGGTTCAATTTTATATCTGTAATATATATTGGTGAGTTATCTCTGCCCTCCTTGCATCAATTGACATGTCTAAAACTTCTTTACGTTGAATTTCAAAAGGCATATGCTCAAATATTATACATATGTGTTAAATTTAAATTTTGGACTAAGTTTGGAACTGTTAACAACATCAAATCTAGTACTTTTTCTTGGATGGTCAAGTCAACCTTAAGCCTGTATAGTGAAGTTAGAGAATGAAATCAGCTTTCTAAAATCTAGTTAACCAACAATGCACATGTGCTTATTTGTTAATGCTAATATGCTAACTTATGGATGTATCTCATCTGAACATTTCATGGATTATAATAAAATAATATTTATTATATTTTCTAATTTTGTTATGAGCACAGCTTGATAGGTGAGAAAATCCTTCGCACTTATAAATCATATTTCACTTGTGAGGCTTTTCAATATGAGACTTATAATACAATGGCCAGCTCATTATCAAAGCAGCTATAAGTAGAAGTTCAACCGTGATGCTTCCTTGTAGATGATTGTTCATGATCTTACCTGATTGCTGAAACTTTGTGTTGTTTGACAAGGTTTTGTTGCTGCACATACACTGCCAGTTCTGTATGAGAGGTACGATGATCAAGTAGACAGCTTCGTGTACCGTGTGTCTGATCAGATGCTGCATAACTATAAGAGGTTTGATGCTGGAGTGCTCAGCAAAATCCCCAAGGGAAGGTTCAAAGGGAAAAAAGCTTGAATAGATTTATGGATCTCTAAGAGGCTTTATCTATTTAGTAGTCATACAGTGTCTCTCACTCACTCATAAAATGCCTATATTGAATGCCTTGAACAAGTAACTTAAGTTAAATGTTTAACTAGAAGGCTTACGCTCCTTCAATTATGATGAACAAAAAATTAATTGATAAACTTCACATGTGAATCCTACAAATTAGATTGTACACGAACACAGAAATAATTAAAAGTCAATTACAGAATAATTATAATGAAGCTGGAAGTCTCTAATTCAGTCATGCCCTCCAATAGCTGAGGAACACTTTTCGTGAAATTTGGTCACAAATTTAAGAAGCTTTTTCTCACTATAACTAACAATGGAAAAGAACGGGATATTCTTCTTTATCAGACCTTTCATTTTCATAACTTTAATTACGGAGTATTGAGGAATAATACTCTGCTCCAAAATATAATAATGTAAATCTGGGCGTTCAGCTTTATCTTTCAATGTCAATGGTTAAACCCATTTCATCCACGAGTGATTACATTGACTTTGTGATATTCTCCTCGGACAGCATCAAATATTGTGGACGTTTGCTGAAGACTTACCTCTTGAAGATAACCAGTTTCGATTCCCTCGGAGATTTCTTTAACCGTGTTAAGATCGCAACAGTTTTAATGAACAGAGTGTTGGAAGGATCAACTGCTGTTTCCTTAGCAAACCTGACATATTCAACAAACTTTTCATGATTCAGAAGTGCTGAATCTGTAAATTTAGTTAAACAGTAAGAAGACAGACGATTAGGGCACACCAATTTCTCATAAAATCATTATATTTTGACCTATATTCGTAAGAATTAAAAATCAGAATAGCTATTGAACTGGTTATGGCATTGATTCAAAAATTAATGGTTAAAATTGTTATTGAGCCGTGATGAAACCAATCATGAATAAAGCATTTTATTAAACAGGTCAATATAATAGTTTAATGGTTTATCGATTTAACCAGGCAAGTTGACTTAGTTTTCATAATATGCAAGTCATTGATTCCAAGAGTCAATAGTTAAAACTATAGTCAAAATGTGACAAAGTATTTAATTGAACCAGTTAAGACATCGGTTTAATGATTTACTAGGTCAATCGGACAAGTTGAATTGGATTTTTTTACTATATAAGTCACTAATTCAAAAGTTAATAATCAAAACTGTTGCAAACAAAACATGTAATTGAGTTAATCAAAGTATTGATTTAATTGGTCAAGTTGAACTAAATTTTAATACTATAATATTTATTGTGTCATGGGAAAACAAACTCGAGAGTTTTAAAGCTACATTTTCTTCCTCGTGGTCATCGAGAAAACTCTCAATGGTCTCATAGAAAGGGATTGCACTTTGTTCTAAGCTGATCATTAGGGATTCAGAATTTGAAATGAGATGTTGGAGTTTAGAACTTGAAAACCCAATCAACTGGAGAGAAACCTTGAGTTGGACAAAAGGGTCTTCTCAGATTTTGCCAGAAGCAGTCGTGGATAAATTTTCAGTTTTTCACAACCATGGATATCCGGGTATCTCACTGACAATCCATATCTACTGAGAAGATCAAGCACCGAATTTGACCATTCATGAACTATTGAGTTTCCAACTCGAAATCGAGATAACACGGGCAAACTCCTCATATCACCAATACAAACCCACAAACTATAATCTACTATAATGCATGAAGAAGGCGAAGTCTAAACTCTCAAAAGTATGATCAATTCAAGCAACCTATCAAGATGCAAATTCATCTATATATTGACCATTTAAAGCCATGTAAATAAGCCAACTTTTCACTCCACCCGAAACTAAGTCTGCCAATAGCGACGAAAAAAGTCCTCTATGTATATCTGACGTAAAAAGTTGAGGTTGCGGTTGAGTGCATATGCAATAGAATTATTATGACTCACAACCCTATACTAGGCTTTTTCACATTGCCCATCGTATATATGCTAAATGTTACAAAATTAAATTGAAGCCTCCAGCAGACTAAGGGCTTATTTGTTTTCAACAATTGTTTTCTATTTTAAAAAATAAAAAATAAAAAATTTTTGGGTTAGTGTTTTGGATTTCAATATTTCCAAAACTATATTATCATTTTTTCTAAAATGGAAACATCTTAAAACTATTTTTATTTTTAAAATACACTACATTTGACTATTATAAATTAAACTACCTTCAGTTATTGTCAACTACTATTTTAGGCCATTATCATTATCAATTAGTGACCTAAAATTGTATTTTCAAGTTAATATAATTAGACAAATTTTCATTTTCAAATTATTTTGATTTTATATCTCGTCCTTATGGCATGAATATTTTTACGTGAAACCTTATGGACTGACCTTCATGTAAAGAAGGCCCAACAAGCAAATCCCACAAGTTTTGACCTGGTCAAGGTCATAGATAACTTCTCAAGTCAAACTCACCAATTTGATGTTATAGTTGTACACACCAATTGCCGCAAGAAAGTACTACTTCACAAGCTCCAAAACATTGAAATCATGCCCCTACATTACAATATTGAACATTTACCATAATCAAGAACTCATTTCAATTGCTCAGATCCGTTTGATTGCTGTAAAAGATGGGAATGGAATGAATTAAAAAAAAAAAAGAGGAATGAAACAATTAAAGTTGATTTAATAAGTAGTGGTGGTTTTTATCACTTAAACAAGTAATAGGAGTTTCAAATCACAATCCTTATATATGTAATAATTTAGTTGGGACATATTCATCCATTACTTTCGGTGCTATCTCAAAGGAGATATTCTCTAATATCTACTATTAGTGGAGTTTATTCTTGATGCTTACAAAATAAAAATAAAAATAAAAATAAAAATGAACTAAATCATCCCTACGCTCAAGATAAGTATATATAATATAACCTAATATCGTATTACAAATATATGAATCATTGTATCTTTCACAAATTTTATGAACTATAAATCTCAATCTGATAAACTAAATTATTATTTTTTTAATATAGTCGACTTATCTATTTTTCATATATTAATCATTCTATATTTTATCTTCATCTTTTTTCAATTTATTTTATTTCATTTCTTTTTATTAACCAAACGGGCTCTCAGGGCTTTCACATGACACATAACCTAACCCTGTAACACCATGTCAAAGGGACATTCATAGTTCTTCTTTGCATTTAAACATCCATGAAAAAACTTGTACTACTTGTTCCCAAGGTCCAGATATCATCTTCCAAACACCAAGAATCCACAAACTCCAAAATCACTCCAGAAGAAAAGATTTTACCATTTCCAATGTGAAAAATTCGGTTACAAAAAGCTAAAAAGTCTCAAAACCCTATGCAACTATACACACTGGAAAACCATGAAGAAAAAAAACAGAGAAATTAGGGAAATTTTAAGTTATAAAGATGACTTAAATTTAAGATTATAGTGTTTTCTAGATGAAATTTGAGCTTCCAAAGCCAGCCAGAGCCCAACTGTCTCTCCCTCTTCTTCCTTTTGGTTTTGTTAAATTTTGTCTGTTTTTTTGTTAAATAGATTCTCGACCTTCACTATGCCAAAGGGCTCTTCGCTATGGTGAATGACTATTTTAGTGTGTGAAAGTCAGTTTTTCAATTTGCCACTGAACTCCAAATCTCCAAAAATAACCTCAAATGAGATCTTAAATAGAAATATTAAGCATTTAATTGTGTATTAATGGTACGGCATATATGTCATATTATACACATAAATTTGAATGTTTAGGATGGCCTAATCAATTATAAATATGATATTTGAGTTTCAAATATAACTCTCAATTTGTAATTAAAATATCTATTTACAATTAATTTTTTTAAATTTTTTGATGATCTAACTGTTATTAATTCACTTTTTCAAAACTTCAGTAAATATTATCTCTCCCAAATTAAAGTGCATATATGAAAGTAAATGGCAGACATTCCCCAACTAAGTTGCTATATATATAAGGGCTAGAATTCCAACCCCTAACCATTTGCTTAAATGAAGAGAATTTACCACTTACACTAACTTTAGTTGGTAACATTATATTAATAATATTCTTTCCGTCATAAATTATAAGATAACTTCAAACAAGATTACATATACTAATAAAGCTCAATAATGATTTCAAAACAAAATTATAAATTTACAAAAATGTCTTTCTTTAAATCTACACACTTAATCATTACACTACAATCATTTTAATTCCTTCTTCATTTGAAGGGTAATATTAAAAAAACATTATTAATAAGACTTTATTTTTATCAAATTGACATATACTTTGAAATAATAAAATATATTTAAGGTTGTCTTATAATTTAGGATGGAAGGGGTATTATATAAACACCAAACACCACGTATACATATTATATTAGGCCAAAACCTACACAGACGATACCTTTTGATTTGCCCTAATAGTAGTCTGACCTTTCGCTGATTCAATGCCTTTACGTAAGAGATTTGACGTTTACACACACACACACACACGAAATAGAATCACAATAATCCAGCTCAAAGGAATAATGCTTGTGAGAGCAATGTGGAAGAAGGTTGTGAAGCACACGTTCAGTGTGCGAACCAAACAGCAGACATGAGGCATGCTCGAGTTTAGGTCCTGACTTGCCCATCTGGACTAAACGAATGGACGAGACCATCCCAAGTCATCTACTCATTGCTTTATAGTCATAAAGTGGCTCTCAGGTCTCACATGAAAACAAAGGCAAAAAGTAGTACTGCATGCTTTCGTAGTAGGAAAGAGACATCTCAGAAAAAAAAGTGGGTTTGGTTGGGCATAGTTGGAGACATGTTTTCGTTCGAAGTCTGCTTAGTTTGGAAATTATTAGCAGCAAAGATGTTAACTCATCTCAAAAAACTAATCTATTGAATGAGAAAATATGGGGTTTCACTTTATGACATTTCATTCAATCTTTTGCCGCTCAAAAAACTCCGTAGGTAGCCCTCTTTATGACCCTAGTCTTTCAATGAAAGTACCAATGCTATGAGCATTAGTGGAAGAATTTTTTAAATTTATAAACCCTACTTTTTTCAAATTTCTAGATGAGGTATTTATAAAAAAATATACACGCAACAAATGATTTTCAACCAGTTTCTTAAATTTGTTGTAAAAGTTTTGCAATATCTTGATTTACAACCAAATATCAGACACAGGTAT